GTTTATAACATTGAACTGAAGGAACTGAATCCTTTATGAACAGATTTGTAAATTTATAGTTTATTTCTCTTTTAATTAACTATGATGATTTTGATTTTATACAGAAGTCGTCAAATGCATATACTGCTATAGACTGATAATATCATAATTCATAATTATGATGATATCATCAATGCTTGGGAGGCTTTATTGCTTTATTTGTGATATCTTTGGTAACAATAATTATGTACTCTTGGTATCGTGTTTATACAGTACCTTTAAAGGACCAGGGCACCACTTAGTCTTGCTGGCCAGACCCTTGCCCCCAGGCACCACTGTTAAGGTTTGTTTTTTAATTCTTGGCTGACTCTGTGATGGTACATAACTTGTATGGGGTGGCTGCTCCCCATTCTTTACAGTCATGATTATTGTGAGGTGCATGAATCTGATGGTATAGCCATATTTGAGCAATAGTTAGCTACTAGTTCTTTTAGTAATGTGTATACTAAGCCTCTTGGTAACGATAACCCTAAGCAATGAATTTTAATTGTTACTCGTTTTTTACTTTCAATTCAATAGTCATAATTGAAACAGAATGATAGAATTGCTCCACGAGTCAAAACGACTACAATATGCAGGTAATTATGCTTAGTCATCTCAAAGCTCATCCACTTAGCATGTGGATGCTATAAAATTGGAATTTTCATAGAATCACTGTTTTGATATGACTGATTATTACATGCAATCCATTTAGCAGCTAGACCATTAGTTACTAACATAAAAATTTGAAATGCGGCTGAGACCTCCTTTGGTATAATGCATAACAGCAGCATCAACATACATGGCAGACAAATTTATGCTACCAAGAGTATATAGGTGATTGTGGGCAATTTTTGGGTAACACATTTTAGCAGCCAAATAATTATTGCTGCAGCAATATTAATAGCACAAAAATTTTGGCAGTCAAAATACTCAAAACTCTACGTTGCTTTTTCTTGGTCTGCAGCTCTCATTGTTCTTATTCATTCACCTTATTTCACAAAATGACTGGATATGTGGGCCTAGCTGATAGTGCTGAAAAATTTCTAACAGGGAGTATTTCTTTTTATGATACCTGTGATACTATTGGTGATGGATTGTTGCTGTACCCAGGATCTAAAAAGCAAGATATATTGGATCATTGCAAAAAATTTGCTGCTCGCCCAAGTCATGTTTTTATCACTTCTTACTTGAGAAGTGGTACCAATTGGATATCATACATAGTACAGCTGATACGGAATGATGGAGCAGTCCCAGAAGTAGATTTGGATCATTTTGCTGTGTCTATTGATGAAATGACACAAGAAGAAGTAGAGGTATAGTTATCATCTAAGCTGTGCATAATGAATGATTTTTTGATAATAGGCAATTGAGTTTCCACGTATTATTAAATGGCACTTTCCTTATGATCATGTTGCTGGTGGTCCTCCTCATCAAAGTCCAGCCAAATATATATACTCCTATAGGAATCCAAGAGATGTTGCTGTGTCTTTGTTTTTATTGAACAAAGGCCTTGAGAAAGTTCGCCCTATTGTATGGAGTGAGTTTTTGGACGATTTCATTAGTGGAAACGTCACCTATGGAAGCCAGCTTCATCACATTAAAAGCTGGTGGGAGCATAGAGGTAATAATTAATGTACTTAAAATGTGCAGTGCATTCTATGCAAAGTTTTTCAGATTCTCCTAATATCCTGATGCTGTCTTATGAGAGGATGAAGAAGGATCCAGTAGGAGCTGTACAATCAATCAGTACATTCTTGGGATATCAATTGAGTCAAAAGCTAATTGAAGAGATAGCAGCAAACTCAAGAATCAATAAAATGAAAAAGAATCTTGAGTCATTCAACAGTGCTTTGACAAAGTATAAGTATGTTCGTAAAGGAGTTGTAGGTGAATGGCATAATTATTTTGGTCCTGAAGATATTAAGAAGTTAGATGCTGCAGTGAAGGAGAAGCTTGGTGACACTGACATTGTATTTGACTATGGAGACACTATTGATCAGTGATAATGACTGATTGACTAGATCTAGTCTATTTCTAAAATATTTATATATTAAGTGCACATAGATGCTTTATCTAATTACTGTATTTATAGTATGCAATCATGCAATCATAGTCTAAATGAGCCACGCCCTCTGCTTAAAATAATTAAAAATGGATTTATCTCATGGTGAAAGATGCATGAATAGAGAATTTTTCTTTGACGAAGATCTTAACGAGCTACCTGGAGGCATCCCACTACTACCAGGAATGAAAAGACACCATGCTTTAGAACTAAAGCAAAAGGTAGTACCTCGACCTGACGATATTTTTGTCACCTCTTATGTCAGAAGTGGAACCAACTGGGTTTCATACATTATTCAATTGATAGCAAATGGTGGAATCCCTCCTGAAAGAGATTTGGATATCATTTCACCTTGCATTGACACAATGGAACCAGCTGATAAAGTTGAGGTTAGCTGTTGTTAGGGCCATGGTCACTGTCTCACTGTACTCCCAAATTTTATTACATCTTATGATACATATTGACGTCTTTGTGTTATGCAAGAAGTTTGAGCCAATTCTGACTTTAATTTTTCAAGTTATAAGCATTTTAAAACTACTCATAAATAATTCTGTTTGATGTTAATGACATGATATAGTTTCTGAATGCTATGACGGACTATGGAGACTGCTACTTGGAAGCCATGCAAGAAATGCCACTAATTAACCACTCATCATAACTATATCTCCATGAATATGTTTAAAGCCTTATGAGGTGTCTATCATTTGAAAATCTAGGGCTTTGCCCTTGGTTTAATTCCATACATACAGCCAGCTCCAAATTTCTGAAACTGTACAATGGTTTTTTTCAAAAATTGGCTCTGAAATTACTCTCAATTGTTATTACATTTTTTATGCATATTGATATCCTTATGCTATGGATAAAGTTTGAGCCGATTCCAATTTTAATTTTTTTCAAGTTATGACTGTTTTTTAAAAACTTCAAAGTTTGGAAAATTGTTCTGTACTATTATAGCCCATAGTTTTTTCCAAAAATTGGCTACAAATCATTTCCAATTTTTATTTCATTTTCTGATGCAAATTGATGTTGTTATGTTATGCAAAAAGTTTGAGCCGGTTCCAACTTCAATTTTAAAAGCTATGACCATTTTTTAAAGACTCCAAATTTTGGTAAAATACCCTGCACCCATGGTTTTTTTTCTAAAATTGGTTCCAAAATTACCCCAATTTTTATTACATCTTTTGGTACATATTGATGTCCTTATGCTATGTAGAAAGTTTGAGTTGCTTGCAAAAAATTTTTCAAGTCATGGCCACTTTAAAAAGTACCAAATTTTCAGCATCAAAAAGTTTCTGATTCTATTATTGGTATGACACAATTAAACTACTGATGTAGATTACTGTAACTTTCCATTAAATGATCATACGCAATGGAATCTCCACGATCTATGAAACATCATTATCCTTATGATCATGTTGCTGGTGGTCCTCCACATCAAAGTCCAGCTAAATACATATACTCCTATAGGAATCCAAGAGATGTTGCTGTGTCTCAGTTTCTGGTTCAAAAACAATTTCCACACAAATCTCCTCTAACATGGAGTAAATTTCTTGATGATTTTATTGATGGTAATGTTGTGTATGGTAGCCCATTGGATAATATAAGAGGCTGGTGGGATCATAAGGGTCAGTACTGCCACGAGTCATCTTTTTAAATCATTTTATACAGATTCTCCTAATATCCTGATGCTGTCTTATGAGAGGACGAAGAAGGATCCAATAGGAGCTGTACAATCAATCAGTACATTCTTGGGATATCAATTGAGTCAAAAGCTAATTGAAGAGATAGCAGCAAACTCAAGAATCGATAAAATGAAAAAGAATCTTGAGTCTTTTAACAGTGACTTGACTAGATTTAACTTTGTTCGTAAAGGAGTTGTAGGTGAATGGTGTAATTATTTTAGTCCTCAAGATATTAAGAAGTTAGATGCTGCAGTGAAGGAGAAGCTTGGTGACACTGACATTGTGTTTGATTATGGAGACACTATTGATCAGTGATCACATTTATATAATCTTTCCTTGCTAGTTTATTTAAAAATTTTATTTTCCATTGAAACACATGTGGTGTAATGAATCATACTATATGCATCAGTTATTTTAATTTAAGTTAGTCTAGCATTATTTTGTCAACATTAGCTTAAATGTTTTAGGGGATTTCCCTTCTTAATTTACTTCCTGTTCTCCTCTTCAACAACTGTCGACGCCTTTTAGACTCAAGAAACTTTATGTTTAGACCAAGTAAGAACAAGTAAAAGCCTGTTAAGAAGACCCATTGGGTTATGCTCTGATGGCTAAAACAAGAGGTGAGAATGAATCACACTTTCAAGTGCTAAGTAATTAAATACTGATCTTTCTAGATTACTTGGCAGAGCTACAAAGACTATATGTACACGACTACTTCTCCCTTGGGTTCCAGTTAGGCCTCAGTCGGGAAAAGCTAAGATACATCGAGGCCAGCGAACCAAACCAAGCTAGGAGGCTCCTTGAAGTAATATGTGCTTGGGAAGAATTGAAAGATGGTGGCACTTGGGAAGAATTGGGTAAAGCTCTGGTGAAAATACCAGATCATAAGAAAGCCGGTTATGCAATATTGAGAAAGTATACCTCATCGATGATGTACACAGATAGAAGTACAGGTGAGTCATGTGTTAATGAAACTTAATAATTTTGAATTTTGATGCAGTGTGACTTTTTAATACATTTTTAATAGGTGCAGTTTCCTTTATTAACCAACAAATAAATGCTACTTCACTTCCAGTTTCAGCCAGACAAGTGCTTCCGCAATCAGACTTTCAATCATTGATGGCAGTACCAACCATCCTTTATCCTTCCCAACACCAAGCACCTGAGGAAACACCTCAAGTTGTTCCACAAATTGAAATGACTCCTCAATTATTAGATGCAGTAACTTTGCCTCTGCCACCTCTTCTCAATCCTCCTTCTCCTCTTCCTCCTATCTCTCCTAGCGACTCAAACTCTAATTTATCTACTGGATCTTTGCCCATTACGAATTTCCTTCCTTCATCTCTTAATAATCTAATCAGCACTTCTCCTCCTGTTCCGTCCAATGCTGAACACACAAAAGATGGTACTACTTTTGATAACGTGTCAGTTTCTTCACAGCCTCATCTCCCTCCATCTCTGTCTCCTCTTCTCCCTCTTCATCTTTCTCCGTCAATATCTTCACTGTGTTCCTCCAATGGGTCTTTTGTTGTTGGAGACACTGCACTACCTCCAAATCATCCTTTTCTTCCTCCTCCAGCCACACAGCCTCCAAACGACCATTCAATAAAAGTATGCAGCACTATAGTTTATACAAATGTATTTATTTATTAATAAGTGATAAATTTTGCAGTTATGTTATGTAGCATCAATTTTTTTAGTTTTAGGATTTTACTTTGTTTTCTTTGTTTATATAGACAGCTCGGAAGGAGATTGGTCGTTTAAAGCATAAATTTACAAAACTATCAATGAAAGTTGCAGAGCTCTTGAATGAAAAAAACGTCAAAGTTTGCGATTTCATTCGCTTCTTGAAATTCTCATTATACAGTAGCCACGACTACAACTTTTTACAGGATCACATACCAGAGCTGGAGTCAAAGAAAACCATAGATGACATCGTAATCTTTTTGCAAAATTTCACGAGCTTTGACAATCCGGAGTTGATCCAAGTCATAGTCCACAACTTTATTGAAGATGAAGGAGGATCACTGATCGAAGGGTACTACGAAGAGCTTCAGGAATTTGAGAAGTTTTGTCACTGTGGAGTGTATGCACAAGCTTTTACTGCAGAGGTGAATCAGTCGGTACCAAATGGGTTTCATTATAGGAATCCATCTTACAGCTCCGAGTCAATTCTGCTCCACTTGAATGACACATGGGACCGTCGACCTTTCTCAGACGTGAGAGCCTTCCAACATAGAGAACTCCACGAGGTATCAAAAGGGTGGCTGGGTTTTAAATAGTGCATGTACACAAGATGTATGCAGGCATGTCCTTTGTATAGTTACAGGGTATATTTCCATTATTATTGAGTGGTTGCATTCCTTAATAGGAAAGTTCAATTTGCCATAATTATAGTTGCAAGAGATGCTAAGGATAATTCCCTCTGCACTCTACTGACTTACCAACTTAACTGTATCACTGTATTAGCTTTAACATAACAAGCTTAACAGAATTAATTTGAACTATTATTTAATGAATTACTTGTAGGTCCCAAGCATGGCTCTTAGTATGAGGAGACTAGAGAAGAGGTCAGTGCTGGTAGTATGGCAGACGACTGAGATAGTGATTGAAAAACTCTCAAAGGATTTCGTACGAAAGTTCTCTCACTTGAAGACCCAAGGAATACTTCAACTAATAGTTGGAGGGAAAGAGATTGACTTCTCTTATAGCCCAAAGCCACAGCTGCACACAATTGAGGTAACTAACTAACAATACCTTCATATTACCTCATGCAGGCGTGACAAGTTTGGCGATGATTTATGCATTAGATAGTAAACAGAAATAAGGCTAGTCGCTTTGCTTACACCACACAAATATACTGTAATTCTATTATGAATTATCAGTTGCTGATTCATTTCTTACTGTCCAAACTGACTATAATTTGCATGCATATAATGATTGCTATAGTTTTTATAGTCACTTTGCTTTTACAGAGATTGAAGCAGTCTTCACCACTTCCACTAAGGACGTCAGCATCAACCTTTACCCTTCAATCAGACATCAGCTCTGCTACTGATAAAAGCTCAGAGTCAAAAGACTCTGGTTTTAATTCAGGTAACGTAACTAGGTTTTGCAGCTATTAACATAATAGCAGTTTTTGACAATTTTTTTGCAAAGTAGCATTTTTGGTATTATAGTGCATAAAGACAATGACTGCTACTTTATCAATATAAATCTGAAGCTTATTATTAGTGCAATCATAGATATATGTATGGTACAACAGAAAGTCATGCCTACTACCAAACTAATCAACATTAGTAAATAGATTGCACATCCTACAGGCTCAGCTGATAAAACAATCACTGATTGACAACTCGGTGGCTGTTCACCAGCTTACATTTAGCTTGCTCATTTTGTCAAGTCACAAGTGTTTATTTTGACTATTTTTCCAACAATAGGAGCTACAAGCTTATCAAGTATATATGCACCAATTGGAAGTAAGTGAACACAGACATAACATGAGCTTCATTTGCATAAGACATCATTAGTCTATGGTTATCCATTCTGAAACCAGCAACACTCATAAATAAAGACTAAAGTGTACACAAATATTAATTCATCATGATCACAGACTATACAAGATTCATAGAGTAAACACATTGCTCTTTTCCTTGCAGGCAAACATGCTCAATATAGTGAGGCTCAGGAAGACTACACTGGAGATAACATCAGCATAGCTAAAGGGAGCAAATTGGAACTGATACTAAATGTAGGCGAGACCCTATCACTGGTACGTACTCCAGGTAATGAGTACGGCTATGTTCCAAGGAGTGTTCTCGGCAATACAAAAAAATTACAGGTAGTCTCATCCCTTAGCCCCTTATTAGTGCGAGGGAATATCAAACAGGCTAATGTGAATGAAGCTACTCTTATACCAACAAAAGGAGCTCCTACTACTGCTCTCCAACCATTAGCTAGTTTACCAGAACGTCCCAATGTCCTCCTCCCTTGCGATCCAATCCCAGGTATTATTGTACGAAAGAAAGTCACTGAGGCCGAGCTCGAGACACCATCTTCTAGCGATACCACGCCCACGAGACCTGACACGCCCCCACTTGAGGCTTTTATCGAAGCAAATAAAATGAGCCTCTCAGATGCACACAACTCGCACCAACCTTTCTCACCGTCTTCGGAGAAAGCTCCGCCACTAACTAATGATAATTACATAAAATATTACTACCCAGAGGTAGTTGAAGAGAAGTCATGGAAGACGAGCATTAAGAAAGCCATAAAGTCCTTCAGATCTTCTATTCACAGGCAAAGTCAGACTACTCTTGATTCTGTCTCGCAACGAAAGAGTCTTTACTCGTATAAGACTCATAAAACTGCTGGAGCAAAGAGCACAGCATCGGCTGATGATGACATCCTCATGCCGTTTGAGCTCTCAGCCCAAGGAAACAGCAAGATCATGAGTGTATGACAAAAACTAACGACTTTTTTTTGGCTTGAATTTTTACGAGCCAGAGTTTTTCGTGAAATAATTTAATCAGTTTTATGCTCATTATTGCTTTCTTTATTCTCGAAAATGAAGTTACAATATGAAACGATAGGAAAAAAAGGGGAGAGAAACTATTATGATTAACAACACAAAAACACGTACAAAAGGGTATCCAAACAAATATGATATGCACACACACACAAATCCTTGTATAGTTAATTCACATTGCCCATAGATACTATGGTATCTATGAAGAGTGTTTTAGAGTATCTCTTTAATTTTGTCTGCTGTTTATTGCTGATGGCTCAGCAGTGTTAGCAATGATTTCTTCTACAGCAAGAGAATTAGTCTCTCCTGATACAACACCTCCTTCGTTATCTCCCTGACAAAGTAAAGCAGTTTTATATTTTAAATAATGATGACCTAGTGGCCAGTATAACATAAATTTCATGACCTCATGATAAGCATAAAAAGGTTGGAATCCTATTTAATGCACATGTAACTTTAGGTCTGTAAGCTATTCTTTATGTGTATGAATATGTGCATGCTTTTAAAAACCTACAGATTCTGGAGTAGCCTCATTGCCAGTGTTTAAAGAATCAACTACCTGCAATTGAGAGAAAAAAAATAAATTGACTGTCTCTTTCTTCCTCCCCTCTCTCACTCACTTGAAGCTGCTTAGTAATCGACTCAAGACTAACCGTAGCAGGCCCAGACCCATTGCTCCCTGCCCCTCCTCCACTGGGAGACTGAACCAAAAGTCCCTGAGGCAACTGCCCAACTAGTATCTGACCAAGACTCTGAGCTAAAATGGGCGCAACATTTGACTGTACTTGCAGCTGGCTTAGCAAAGCCTGTAAGTTGGCAGGGCTGAGAGCAAGGGGAGTTGTGAGTGAGATAGTGTCAGTGCTGTTTCCTCCGGCCCCGAGAGAGACAGAGGGAGTGCTGGTAAGATTGATGGGGATAGTGAGAGGAGAGACGGTGGCAGTCTGGGTACGAGTTGGAGTAGCAGCACTGGAGGAGAGGGAGAGGTCTGAGGCGGATGCGTCAAACGATGGAGTTGACGTGAGAGTGTTAGGAGACTGAAGGATAGCTATCATTAATGAGAGAAAGAGATTAAAGAATATAGTAGCTTGAAGGTGTCTGCATGCTGCCTTAAGGCAATAGTCTTTATTATATTTATTTGAATCACATCAATCAGGTTAATTATAAATATGAGTGACATACAAAACAGAGACAGACGGCTGCCATCTTAGGAGGCTTCAGTACAATTATTTGCAGAGTATATCAAATGCACACAACATGTACATGTAAAGCAGTATTTAGTATATGCAATACACACACATTATAGTGACATACAATAATGCAATGGTTATAATACTGCAATATACTCAATACAGCTAGTATAATACACTGTACAACAGTACCATACTCACATAGTCCTGACAAGGAGCTAAATGAATCAGTGGTTGGTGATGGACTGACTAGCCCTTTCCTCCTGTTAGTGAACCAGGTGTTGATCCTTTGCTCTGTGATACCCTCAGAATCTCCTGATGCACCCTGAGAGGAGAGAGGGAGAAAGAGAGAAGGCATAAAAGTGCTAATATATGTGTACATGTACCAGTAAGTATGATTTTTATTATATAGTATGCAGGTTTGTGAATATGAATATACCCTAGCTGTTTATACCTTGCATTATAGCTAGTACAGGGGCTGTGGTCTGATTTTTGAGTAACTTTAAAAATTCGTAAAAAATCCAATTTCAATCGGAATCAGCTCAAACTTTCTATGCAACATAAATACATGTATATGTATCGGAAAAAATATATGGAGAATTCTCCATGTTTCATTTTTGGCAAAATATGGCCAAAGTCCCTGGCCCAAATAAAAAATTCATAAAAATGGAGAATTCTCTCCTAGTCAATTCCATGGAGCAAAGATCCACTGAAAAGGATATGAACACTACATTGTATGTCAATCTGTGGGGAACCTTGATTGGATTACAATGTACATTAGAGAGGATACACGTACTGCAGTGTCTGTCTATTATTAAACATACTTGCACCTGAAGAGGCTCCCCGTTGTTCATTGCTGACTCAGCTTCACAGCATATTCGTGACAACTCAAGACGCTGCTCACGAGTAGGGAAACGATTCTATAGAGAGAGAGGGAGACAGACAGACAGACAGAGAGTGAGTACACTACCCCCACAACTACTACACTGTACAATTACAATACACATAATCACACATCATTCACTATTCACCTCAGACACTCTAGACATTATTAGTAAACAGAAAGAGGAGAGAGAGAGAGAGAGATCTTACCTTCTTAAAGGCTTCAGTAAGTATCTGTGTAGCTACAGGTGACCAGCGCCAGCGTGGTCTCCTACGATATCCCTCAACTTTAGGACTCTCAAGAACACTAGTCAAACTACCATCAGCAGTCAGAAGCTCTGGTGGATAGAAAGATAAGGATTCAATGTTAAATCAGAATAAATAAACCATACTTCCGGTTCTCTGTAGCTGGTCTTGTTCAAACCAGTGATAGAGCTTGACACGTTTAGCCGGTTTTATTGGTACCCCACGAGTGAAGTGCTGGGAGAGATGACTCTGATTAATGCCCGTCTTCTCGACAACCTCTCTCTGTGGTATGGAGTATTGGTGTAGGTACTTCCTTATTGCTTGAGCTACAAGAGATTGATCTCTCCTATTATAGGAAATAATGACAAACAAAAAATAATAATAACAATAACAATATTAATTACTAATATTACCAATATCATACTTTTAATAAGTATTTTTATACTACATGTATAATACTGTATACTGGGAAATTTTCGAGTAGCCAAAATTTCCACAGATTTCGTGTTTTTTTGCTCCGTCATGAATATAAAAATTGTGAAATACTGCATTTTCATTGCCACATGGTGGAGTTTGCAAGGTATTCGCGAAAATTTTATTTCGTAAAATCTTACAAATGAAAGATTCACGAATATTTATAGCAACGCGAAAATATCCCAGTGTACGGTACTTATGCAATTATAATAATTATATGAAACTTATTTGTTATTAATCACTCATAGTAAAACCATCGATAACAGCATATCAATTATCAACAGTAGTAATACATTGAACTCATTGTATACACTATGTGAATTGAATCCCTAGCCATAAAAATGTCAATAATTATGTCACATGCTAATAAGGCCATTCATCGTGGGCTTGTGTACAACAGTACGTGATAAAGCTTAAAATCATATTATCATCATTCAGTCAAAAGGTTTAGCTTATTTTCACTTACTGTAAAAGTTCACGGGCAAAAGTTGATGGTAAGGGATCATCAGAGAGAGACAATGAGGACCGAGTGGAGGAGTTAGCAACGACTGGGGAAGATACATATGTCTCCATTGCCGACTGGACTACACTCTGAAGCCTGTTCACTTCACCTGATAAGGAGGAGAAAGATAAAATAAAATACATTATGTAAACTAATACTAGCAATCTACATGTACAATACTAACAATTAATATTAACAATGTACATGTACATATGTACACTAATATAAAGGAATCACGAAACAATACACAATACTATACTATACTAGAGACAAAAGATAAAAGAAGCTGCTGGCCTATCATACCATGAAGTTGTTGGTCTGTCTCTCCCTCCCCGGCCCCCGCCTGTAGGCCAATCGGGTTCTCTCCATCTTCGGAACCCACGGACACCATGACACGAGCCAGTGAAGGCTCCTCCGCAATGTGTAACCTTCGGCTAAGACCATCGCCCTCGCCCTCTCCTCCTTGAGTGAGTCTCATGTCTTCCTCCCTGTCTTTTGATTTGGCGAATTCATCATACATGGCTGATAGCTGGTCCTTCGACAACTCGTAGTGCTCTATCAGGCTACGGATAACTACACGGACATTATCTGGGACGTTTTCACCTTCTATGGCGCGTCCCTCCCCGGCCATGTCTTGGGTCTCCATGTTCTCCTCGGCCGCCTCTCCTTCCTTCCCGTCATGATCTTGTCCGAGCGGTCCATCTGGGGGAGAACCTCCACTGGCGACATGGCTGCTCCCAGAGACACTAACTAGTAAGTTATTAGTGTTGTCACTCATCCTCCCTCTTAGTCAAGTAAAAGATATGAAGATAAATAAGCTAGACTAATATTAAAAGTATAGTTTAATAGCCAGCAAATTGTAACGAGGAAGACAAAGAGATATGATACCGCAAAACTTTAATTAACAGTTCCCGCTCAAACTTATACGAAATATTAAAATTAATATTTGCGGGGTCGGGATGACACGTGGTTTCCGTTTAACTCCGGATACGAGTCTGTACTGTGTATTTTCTTAATCAAGAGTATTACAAAAACAAGTTGTTTATAAAAAATGATGGTTAATAATAAGGTTTAAAATCAACTTGCACATGCACACGATAAATAGACTGGGCATACATCAAAACCATGATTACTAATGAATGAATGGGTATACATAATACTTAATTGAGTTATGTCTGCATGGTGACGATAAGAGACCTAGTATGGAAAAAACCAAACACTGGAGAACCTGACTCTTCCGATCTTCTTAGCGGCCAGATAGACATGAAGGATAGCATAACCTAAATGAATTACAAATTAGAAAAATAATTACAATGAATTTAATGAATTTTATAGCACAGTAGTACAAGTGAAAGTCAGTGGCTGGTAGAAAATTTAAAATAAATGGTTGACAATCAGCAAATGATGATGATACTGAAAACCAGAGATGAAATGAGTGTAGTTTTAGTTACAATACAGTTTTAGTTTGAGCAGCATTTTCAAATATATACATGATAGCTAACAAAAGATTGTGTCAGTAAACAACTAGCAAGAAAAAAATAACAGTAAAAGTATTTTCAGTGTTTTCAGTACGTCCACTCATTATTATTATTGTTAATAAAAGCACAAACATGTATACTCAAAACAGCTTGGAAAAATATGAAGCTATACTATACTAATTTTTTTAGAAACTTTAAAACACAATTTAAAGCTTAATTTCAACCGAGTCTAATGGATGAACAAAAATGAATTATCTTTGTGTAGTCTATACCTCTTGAATCACAATACTGTTGAACAATGCATCAACATTATTTGCAGACATGCCTTAACTTAGTGAGTCCAACAATGAAGATTAAATGTATAAACGAGGAGGGTTTCCCATGCCTCATGAGCTAACAAGCAACCCAACACCAAAAACCCTGTACTATACCCAGTATAGGGACTTTCACTTAGTTTTTGAGTAACTTTAAAAATTCGTAGAAAATCCAATTTTGATTGGAATCAGATCAAACTTGCTGCACAACATAAAAACATGTATATGCATCAGAAAAAAAATTTAAAAGTGGAGAATTCTCTCCTAGTCATTTTTGACAAAATTTGGCCAACGACCCTGTACTATAGTACAGAGGCTTTGGCCCAATTTTAAGTAGCTTAGAAAATTGGTAAAAAAAACAATTTCAATTGAAATCAGCTCAAACTTGCTACACAACATAAGAACATGTATGTGTATCAGAAAAAATGATAAAAATGGAAAATCAAATTTTTGGGCAACTAAAATATCCACCTGCCTGAGCACTACGCCAAAATCCTGCGGGAAGCCCTATACATGTCGGATTACATTGTACAGTAAGGATAGCTGCTTAAGCACAATAGCTAATTAAATTTACAGCAAATTGGAAACAGACAACATTACCTGATGGTAATATGATTAGTAGGGCAACTATCAGAAAAGCAAGGCCACGTAGGACATTGTCTGTTACTATAAATGTATGTAAATATAATAATAATAATAATAATA